AGCCGGAGTTCGAGCGAGGCCGGCCGGCCGGGCCTGGCGCACGGGCGAGGCCGGGGCCGCCGGGCGGGGCGGCCGCGAGGGACGCAGACCGAGGGACGGGCCGGGCGAGAGAAAGAAAGAAAGGGCGTCCGTGCGCCGGGGGAGCCCGAGGCGAAGCGCGGCGGCGGCGGCGGCCGAGCAGACGAGCCGGGCCCGCCGACTCCCGAGCGGCGTCTCCGGCGGCGGGGGCAGTGGGCGGGCGGGCGATCGCCGAGAGGGCGAGCGGGGCGGGAGCGCGCGGGGGCGCCCGGCTCCTCCGTTCCTCTTCCTCCCCCCGCACCCCCTCAGAGAGCGCCCTGCGAGGAATTTTCTCTTTCTTCGGCCTCTTCTCTCTCCTCCGCCCCCCCTCTCGCGAAGGGGAAATGAGTGTAAAGGGAGGAGATAGGGGCAGAGAGAGGCGTCGTCGTTCCTCCTCCTTAAAGGAGCCTTCCCTCCTCGGCCCCAGCGCCGCCGCCGCCGCTGCTGTGCTCCGTGGCAGGAGGAGCCATTGACACCGCCGGAGCCTCCACTCGAGCCCAGTCGGTCCCTCCCCGCCGTGGGGCTGGCCGGGGAGCGCGGGGGAGGGCCGCGGGCCGGCGGGGGAGGGGCGGGTGGGCGGGGATTCCGGCCCGGCTGGCCAATGGGGTGCGCCGGCGCAGCCTCGGAGCCAATGGAGCCTCCTCTCTTATCGCCAAGTCCCTTCTTCCAACGCCCTGTTTCCTCTCTCGGGTCTCCTCCTTCCCCCGCGGAGGAGGAGGGAAGGGGAGAGGGGGAGTGTGGCGGGGCGGGTGATAATGGGGAGGTATCAGGGCATATAATGGAGCCGGGGGTAGGCGAAGGAGCGCCAGTACGCAGCGAAGATTCTAGGAGAGGAGGTGCTTGGGGGCAGGGCGGGGGCTGCTGATGTAACTGGGAGAAGTGATTAATTCTGCATTTTGGCGTTTCAGCCTCCCTCCACCCCGACCTTCACCCGTATTCTTAAACGGAAAGTGGAGTGAGGGAGTCGATCTTTGGTAACTCCGGGTTTCTGTTCTCGGTTCTGTTCAGACTCTCAGCTGTAGGGAGCGCTACAGGCTCTGTGCCCTTTAGTCCAGCTGAGGGTACTTGCAAGCCTTAAGAGATCTGCTTTGACTGAGTTTAAAGCTCCAGAGTTTGGAGTCGGTTCCAGTTTTGGTCACCCAAACCCTCAGAACGTTTTAGATCGCAGACAGTTAGTTTGCTTTGGTTTTGGGGAAGGTGGTCTACGTAATGTTCTGGAAGAAATAAAATGTATGGATGTTCTGACTGATGGTTTTATTGGGTTTTTTTGTTTGTTTTGTTTTATTTTGTTTAGGTTTCACAAAACCAAAAAAGGTAGACTCCCAAGAGGAATTATCTTTTGTACCTGGCCCCCTTGGCATAATCTGTCCCCAAGGAGAATGTGTTTCTGTTCCCTGGCTGCAGTTGTGATGACTGAAAATGTACTCTCACTGTTTATCCATTATGGCATAGCTAGAAGTTCAACCTTGGATTCCTTTATTTTCGGAGCATTCACTGATTGCCTACTTGAGATTCATTGATTGCTTTCTAGGCTCAAGATAGATAAGACATTACAAGGCTTGATAAAAGTAAGACCGAGAGGGAGACAAGTGTGAATCCTGAGAGGAGCACAAGGTAAGTCAGTATTGTGCTGTGTGAACCCCACGCTAGGCTAATTGCCTTTTTGAATGTCAAACATCTCTCCTGCCATTGAAATACAACTTTATCTTATGATGCACAATTGCTGTTTTTCTTTCTCTTTGTCATGTGATTTCTGAGATGCTCTCTTTTTGGCCAGGAAAGTGGAGACTCATAATCTTTTCAAAACCTGTATGTGAAGACAGCTATTTAAAAACTATTTTGAGGGGCCAGAGAGATGGGTCATCCCTTAAGAGCACTGGCTACCCTTCCAGAGGATACAGCTTCAATTCCCAGCACAGGGTGGCTCACAACTGTCTAACTCCAACTCCAGGGCATCTGTCACCCTCTTCTGGCCTGTGAGGCACCAGGCAGGCACTTAGTGCACAGACATGCAGGCAAAACACCTATACACATAAACTTAAAAAATTATTTGTTTAAAACAGCCAGCCTGAGTAGCTTATGCTATTTTCTCAGAACACTGAGGGCTGAAGCAGAAGAATGACAAGTTCTAGGCCATCCTGAACTGCCGAACAAGACCCCATCTCTAAGTAAATACATAAATAACATTTAAATTTTATGGTTGTTAACTAGGTGAAAATAAACGTGTGTTTGGCTTAAGTAAACATTGAGGGAAAAGTTTAAAAGTGTGGGAAAACAGCTTATAATTAGCATGTATTATTTGGGCACGTGTGAATGGCATGAATCTAGAAGTCAAAGGACAACATGCAGGAAGAGTTTCATTTTTCCTACCACATAGGCTCTGGAGACCAAACTCCTCTCTACTTTCTGTAATTTTTAGCTTCAGATCCACACACCTCTATCTTTTACATAAATACCATCTTTCATACTCTGTTTCACAATTGTGCTTATTTCAAAGTATGCTTAGGGATAAGGAATTTATATAAAGTCATAGAAGATGTCTTTTACATAGTCTAGATTTCTGAATCAATTGTAACATTTATCTGGCCAATGAGGGCAACATGCCTTGTTTCTAACATAGCATTTCTTGGAATGACAATTTCCCAATACATAAAAATAAATGTTTTAAGAAACACTCCTTCCTTCCAGACAAGATCTCACTATGTAGATCAGGCTGGTCTTGAACTCACAAAGATCCATCTACTTTTGTCTTCCAAATATTAAAGGCCTGTGCCACGACTGCCGGTCCAGGATCACCCTTTTCTAATCAATGCAGTGTCTGTGGGGTGAAGAGGTTTACATGGCAGGAGGAAAGGACAGCTAAGCCAACAAATGCCATATACCTTCTATTGTTCTCTAATACTAACCCCAAAGGTAGAGCTGCTCATTTCTGTCATTTTGAGATAGTATGCAATTTTCTTTTTTTGTAATTCATTTTGAGGTGTTTATCAGCTTCCTCCTATCCCCTCCCCCACACCACCATGTCTTTGTACAGAGCTCAAGTCTCCATGGGTCTGCTCTTCCTCTGTGGCACTTCATCTTCTCCCTGAAATGCATCATCACTTCTGGACTTCCTGAGTACCCATGTAGGCCTTGATGAGGCAGGAGCCTTGCTTTGTCCTCCCTGGGCCACCACCTGCCAGTGGTGCATTGTCCCTGTGTCATGTTGAAGGTGCTTTGAGGCTGAAAGGAGCACTTAGGCCGTGGCCTGTCACAGGCATGCCCAGAAAAGCAACCCTTTATCTTGGGCTCCTTGAACCTCTCTATGTGAATCTGTGTATGTGAATCTGTCAGCCACCTTACTTCCAACTTTTCTTTCCACCATGAAAGGGCATGGAAAGTAAGTTAGCACTGCCCTGTCTTCTTTCCCTGGGCTACAAAGGATGGATTACTTTTCTTCTGGAGACATTCTTTTTTTTTTTTTTTTTTTTTTAAGATATGATCTATGTTGTAATTCAGGCTGGCCTTGAACTTACATCCTTCCTGTCCCAACCTCTGCAGTACTGAGAGCACAGGCTTCTCCTTGAGATGGCATTTGCTCTGCTCTGTTTCTTAGATGGCGTGATAAAGTGTGAAAGAGAAACTAGTTTAACAATAATGGATCTTTTGGGAGATATTTTTTTAAAATATCCTATTCCCATGTCACTGGTTTAGACATATTTTTAGTTTATTTCATGGAATTAAGCCTTAGAGTCTTGTTTGTGCAACAGTGTCCAAAGGCATTTTTAGGGTGGGCTTTGGAGACCATTTAATCTCATTTCTGTGTTTGACAGACTGCAAAACTAAAGTGCAGGGACAGGAGATGACAAAACCGAATCACATTAACTACTCAGTAACAAAGCCACTGCCTCCCAGTCCAACATCTTTTGCATTCACAGGTTTTACAAACATTTAATGGTATAAACAAAAACATTCCAGAGGGTTTTTATACATCGAAAGACCCACCTATTTTAGGAAGAGATGCAGACAGATGCCATAGAAATTTTACATGAGCTGGGTGTCATCCAAACACTAAAGAAACTGAGGTAGGAGGATTGCTGTGAGTTCAAGACCATCATGAGGTACAGCATACTGATTTCCAGGCTAGGCTACAGAGAGACCCTGGGAAGATTTGCTGTCCACGAGTATGTGCACACAGAGTCCTGAGGAAGACTTCAGGTGTCCTACTTTATCATCTGTGCCTTATTCCTCTGAGGCAGGGTTTCTTCTGAACCTGCAGGTAGGCTGGTGGCCAGCACACCCAAGGGCTCTGACTGCTGTGCTTGCCTGCCATAGCACGAGGGTTCCATGTGGGTGTGGGAAGTGAGCCTAGCTATTTACATGGACACTGGGCTTCAAACTCAGGTTCTCATTTTGTTCAGCAAACACCTACTGAGTCAAATCCCTTGGGGTGTTTATTTGTTTGTTTTGGTTCGTTGGCTTTTGTTTTGTTTCCCAGAAGGAGTTGTTAGATGATGGGAAAAGGAGAAAATGTAGAGGGGTTTTCATTTGGGGCAGTCTTCAAGAATTACCTCAGTAACAATATCATTTCAGAGGACCGAACTCCCTCGGGGGTTGCTCTGTCTTCAAGAACATTTGTGTTTGTTTTTCTCAACTAATTACTAGTGCTTAACAGGTTAGTGTACTTAAAATTATTTGCTTATGAAACCTTTCACAATAGGAGTATAGAAAATAAGCTCTTTAATCATTTTAATGCCTGGCAGGTGATATTTATTATAATTTTAAATTATAATTTCTGCCATTTCTAAGATTCAGCTTTCCTTTCCCTGTCAGCTACCATCTAGTCCCAAGCCATCAGCACTCAGTCAGTTACATAAGCCGCCTCAAAGCCTCTCACTCCTTTTATGTCACTTAAGAAATTAGTTTGATCTGAATATAGTTCCCCTACAGGAATAACCAGCTCTGTTTAAAATATCCGTGTTAGAGTATGAATGACTTATCTCACTAAGCTGCAGATAGTCATTCTTTAGCACATGCCCTGATAAGACTTTATCAGGTAGTGAAAATTAACTCAAAACCAAGGATTTAAATGTATGTGTACTCGGGAAAGCCTGGTAACTGCTATCCAGTGATACTGACATGAGAGGTCATCTTTAAAGAATGGCAGAGTAGCTTCAACACCCTTCCCCACAGAATAATACAGACAGCACAGCAGAAGAAATTAATTATGCTCAAGATTTAGGGTACATTGTGGTTGATAATTATACATCTTTATATTTTGCTTTTAAAAGGGAGAACCCGGTTTCTAAATGCCGAGAAGACTAGGCCTAAAAGTACTTGAGTTTGTTGTGCTACAGAAGGCCTGAGAGGTGACAGAGCATGAGTAGCTGTGAGGCCACAAGGAAGTGTAGGCACCGGCTGGACGACCTTGGGCAAATTCCTTGGCCTCTCTGGGATTGTTTCTACATCTGCAAAATGGGTGTGAGGAGGTGATAATAGTTCTCATTTTGTAGAATTGTGACAGTACTAAATAAATTAGTGTCTATAAAATGCTTAAACCAGTGACTACTGCATTGTAGAGGTCCAGTCTGAGTTTACCTCACACATCATCTGATGAATGTTAATATTACATTTACATTGTGTGTGGCAGGGGGTGAGTTCAGGTATACTCTTGTATGGAAATGTGCCTAGAAAATGAATGTTATAAGAACTTTTTAAAATACAAGAAAAATACAAAAGAAAGAGGCAGGGCAACTGTGGGCATGAGACAGACCTGAGTGGAAGCTGGTGGGAGGAGGCTGCTATTGAGGGTTTCTCCACTCAAGCAACACCTGCGCTTTGGATCTTGTAGATGAAGGATGAACTATGAGGACAGGTGTAATCAGTAGGTCAGGAAGCAAACAGAGCTATAGAGGGGAAAGTAGCAGTTGAAGGTTTATTAGTATTAGAGGAAAAAAATGGGCCCACTTAAGCAGCAGATTAAAATTTAAATACTCATCCTAGCAAGGTGGTACATGCTTTTAATCCAAGCAGCACTCATGAGGCAGAGACACAGGATCTCTGTGATTTGAAAGCCAGGCAAGCCTAGACTACATAGCAAGACCCTGTCTCAAAATAAATGAACAAACAAAAACCACCAAGAAATCCCCATTGAGAGTAGTTAATGATTGAAAGAAATAGGAGAAGGAAAGGCTCATCAATGAACGATATATGGTAGTTAAGATGCTAACGAGCAAGAGGTTAGAACAACTAAAAGAAGCAGGCTGTTTGGAGACCAGCACATGCCACAGAACATGTTAGCCCCCACAGCGTTCCTGAGATTACGGCTTTGTAAGCAATAACCAGCTTCAGAATCAGGAATCTGTGTAGCCACACTGCAGGAAAGGAGGCCTTGGAAGCAAGGTTAATACTGAGTTCTAGGAAAGGAAACAGTGTTGGCAGCTATGCCATAAGGTTTTAAGCCTCAGGTTCTTTTCAGAAATGGACAAATCCCAGAAAAAAATCAGCTGTAAGGATGGGTTGTAGAGTTGACTACTGATAGTGTGGAGTGCTGGGTTCACATATGGAAGAAGTCATGTCATTGGGCAGAAACCAGGAACAAGTTCAACATTGTGTTTCCAGGCCACAAACTCCAAGTTGAAAAAGGAAAAGAAAATAAGTATTCAAGGTATGGAAAGGATTCTAAGAGAAAGAACTAGAATCTAGAGAATGATTCTAGGAGCTAGAGAATGAACTAGACAATGAAATGCTATCACCAAAACCTCACAGCCTCAACTAATTGGCCTCATGCCAATTCTTGATCTCTGGCCAAGAAAATTGCTCTTAGACCAATCAGTCTAGCTCCTGATCTTCAGATGAAGTGAAATGGATGAAGAGAGGTAGGTCTTTAGAAGAAAAACAAAAGATATTTTAAAGATTTTGTCAGATATTTTGGCACAACAATGAAAAGTAACAAATATAAAATAGTATCAGAAGTGGGGTGGTAAATGAACTAAACCTGACTTTGCCGCTGTTTTGAGGGAGGAAGATGGAAGACTAGGGAGTGGAAGAAGGAAGACATTGTATTAAAAGTGTTACAGTTTGAATGTGGAGTGGTTTAAACACTTGGTCTCCAGCTGGAGGTGCTGTCTTAGAAGGTGTGGGTCAGTAGGTGTGGGCCTTGAGGCTGTACCACCAGGCCTTACTGCCTGTCTGCCAGCTTCTTTCCAAGGGTAGAGCAGTTGACCAGCTGTCTCATGCTTCACCTGCCATGCCTTCCCCACCATGACAGATGAGCCAAAACGAGCCCTCCCTTGCTTGCTGGGTATAAAAGCCACACTTAAGGTCAGGGCCCATGCCCAGCAGTAGACAGCTACCTCAGAAGGAACTCACTGTCTGGGCATTTTTTACTTTTCTGACCATTGGCACACACATTATGGTTTCTAGTTTTGACGTTTTTATGGGTTTTTTTGTATGTTTCTGTACATGTGTGTACTTATTATGCTTTTTAATTTTTTTGTTCTTTTTTTTCTCTGTTTTTAAAATTCTGTTTGTTTTCTAAAGAGAGAGAGAAGAAAGGCTTTGAGTCAGAAGGGTGGGGAGGTCAGATGCATCTGAGAGGAGATGAGGATGTGAAAACTGGGGTTAGAATATAATAAGTAAAACAAGCAAATAACTCTTCCTTACTTTTTTGTGGGGGAAGGGGAGATGAAGGTTGGGACAGGGTCTCACTGTGTAACTCTCCCTGGCTTGGAACTCACTATATAGACAAGGCTGGCCTTGAATTCACAGATACCTGCCTGATTCATAGATAGCTACCTGCTTCAGCCTTCCAAGGGCTGAGGCTAAAGGCTTGCTTTTCTTCTTCAAAAATATTTTGTTGTATTTTTGTTTATGTGTGTATATAGAGTGTGGGTGCCTGTGGAGGCAAGAAAAGGGTATTGGACCCCCAGGAGCTGACGTTATAGGTAGTTTTGAGCTGCTCCAAATTCTGGTCATCTGAAAAGGAAGCAAGCACCTTAACTGCTGAGCCATCTCTTCATCAACACCCCCCACGCACACACCCACACACTCACACAATTGCTTTTCCTTTATCCTTTCTTTCTTTTTCTTTTCATTTTTTTTAACCATGTTGAAGAATTGAACACAGAACTTGGTGCATGCTAGGCAAGCATCCTACCACTGAGATATAACCTCAGCTTTTCTTAAATTCTGTTCGTTGGTTATTTTGCCACAGCAATGAGAACAGTAACTAATAGAGAGGTAGCACCGGGAGCTAAGGTGATAAAGCTCACTATGGATCTTAAGCATTTGCAACTGTTGTAAGGAAGGAATCTAGAAGAGTTTGGAGCTGTGGTTTATAGAAGTCCTGGAAGGCTGTAAGCAGAGCTTAATGGGCCATTCAGATGGGAATGTGGAAGACAGACTGCCAAGAGAAATGAAAACAGCAGAGGCACAGCTCGTGAGGTTTCAGAGGGGAATAAGGACTCAATTGGGAACTGGGTTAGAAGCCATCATGTTACATTTTGACAAAGAATCTTTCTGTGTTCTGCCCATGTTCTGAACTTTTGAGTGAGGATGGATTCAAAAGTAACAGACTAAAGCCAGGCGTGGTGGCGTACACTTTGAGGGTGAGCACTCAGGAGGCAGAGGCAGGCAGATCCCTGTGAGTCTGAGGACAGCCTGCTCTACAGAGTGAGTTCTAGGACTTCCAGGGCTATGTAGAGAGGTCCTGTCTCAAAACAGCAGCAGCAACGAGTAATGGACTAATTTGTTTGGCAGAGAAAAAAAAATCAATGCAGGATAACTTTCAGGCTGTGTCATGTTTCTTGTTCCCTGCTCTTATCCAAGGCTGCACAGAAAGACATAGAGCAGGAAGGTAAGAAAATTGTGCAGTGTGTTGAGAAAAGGAGAACACGAAGATTGAAAGTTGTAGACAAGGGCCCATGGGAGAGTGCTGTGGGTAAGGCCTTCGCTGCCAAGCCTGCCAATCTGAAGTCAATCCCAGAACCCACATGGTGAAAGAAAGAATTGACTACTGCAAGCTGTTGTCTGAGCTCCACACCTATACATCACATGCAAGTGTGCCCATCTGTGTTTGTTAGCGTTTCCGCTGCGAAGATAAAACACCATGACCACAGGTTGAAAGATGGCTCAGTGGTTTTGAGCACTGGTTGCACCATGGGTTCACTTGCCAGCACCCACATGGTGCTCACAACTACCTGCAACTTTAGTTCCAGGAGATCTGACACCCTCACACACATATACATTCAGGCAAAACACCAATGCGCGCGCGCGCGCGCGTGTACACACACACACACACACACACACACACACACACACACATAAATAAATTAAATTATATATCCCCCGCTTATGACCGAAAGCAGGTGGGGAAGAAAGGGTCTATTTTAGCTTATACTTTCACATTATAGTCAATTATCAACGGAAGTGCCGGTAGGAACTGAAGGCAGGGACCTAAATGCAGGAATTGGTTGATTCGGAAGACGTGGAAAAATGCTGCTTACTGGCTAGTTCCTCATGCCTTGCTTAGCCTGCTTTCTTACATCATCCATGACCACCTGCCCAGGGGTCACCACCCGCATTGGCCTGGGCCCCTCCACATCAGTCATTAATCAAGACAACACTCCATAGACTTGTGTAGGCATAATGTTATTGTGTACCGTGCAAAGATTCAAATTTCTGATCTCTGTCCCCCAACATCTGGTTGCAATCCTCGTTCTGAGAATTTACTGTCTCAGTGTTGTATAAACACTGCTCCCCAATCATTCCCTGATAAATCAATAAAACAGCTTAACAGCCGATTGTTGAGCCAGGGAGAGAATAGGGTTGGACCTCCAGCCAGCCACGGGAGGAAGAGTTAGAGAAGGAAGTGGGGAGTCAGCCATGAGCAAAGGTCCTGGAGACACAAGGAGAGAGTAGCTGGAGCTGAGAAAGCCATAAAATGCAAGTAAAATGGGGATTTTGGTAAGGAGAAAGGCAGACTAGCTTCGAGAGTTAATATGGACTTATATTGCTCAGTTGCTGTGCTGTAAAGTATGTTAAACAAATATAATGTTTAACACTATATTGTAATATAGTGTTTAACAAATAATTATTTAGGTGCTGGCCAGGAGAGAAAACTGCAAACACATACGTTTAAAGCCAACACTAACAGACTTGTCTACACACCAGTCTTATGGAGACATTTTCTCAAGTTTTCCTCTTCAGGGGCCTGAGAGATGGCTCAGAGGTTAAGAGCACTGGCTTCTCTTCCAAAGGTCCTGAGTTCAATTCCCAGAAACCACATAGTGGCTCACAACCATCTATAATGAATCTTCTGATGTGTAGGCATAGGTGCAGGCAGAATACTGTACGAATAACAGGTAGATAAATCTTAAAAAACAAAACAAACAAACAAAACTATTTTCTCTTCCCAGATATGTCTTGGTTTGGTTTGTGTGAAGTTGACAAAACAAAACAAAAACCACTGTGTAAAAGCAATAAAGTTTCAGACAAGGATGCAAAAGCATCTGTACTTACTGATGAGATAACAATATCATAGAGAAATGGAGAGCTCTACACTGGGACAGGAAGATGGATGCACTGTGGGTAAGATTCCACCCACAGAGAAATGTTCCAGCTTGTAAAACACAAGGATGTTTGAAAAGAGAGGCTCAGATGGAGAATACTGCTGAAAGGATTCCCTGATCCAAAATGGCCAACTGTGGAAGTGTTTGCTTAGATTCAGCCACCAAGCTACACAGAAGCCACTATAGCTGTGGTCGAGTGGTTAGGCTGTACCTCAAGCTGGCAGTAGAACTTGGCATCATTTACATGTGCCAGTTTTTCATGCATTAAACATACACAAGTGAGGGGGTTATGGAGACTCATGCCAATGTTCCAGAAAGCTCCTGAGTCCATGCAGTGCACACGTTGCAGGGTTTAAATTCCCTGAGAGGCCAGTACATGGAGCTGGGGAGGTGAAGTCTTTAGTTTCTTAGCGGCCCCAGGGTGCTGGAGATGCAGGAACTGTGGGACATCTGCCATGAAAAGCTTGAGGCAGAGCTGAGCAGCCTTGAGTGGCCACATGTGCTGTGGGCAGATGTGGAGTGATGGGGATGTCCAAAGCCATCGGGGCCCTGCATTTGATGTTGGGCTCAGGTGTCAGACACAGACCTATAGGATCTGGCATTTTTCTGTCTCCATTTTAGTCTTGCTTTGGTCTGATCTTAACTTGCTATGTTTCTCCCCTTTGGAATGGAAATGATTACACCATGTCGTTGTATGTTGGAAGTTTGTAATTTTTTTTCACTTTGTTTTAAAGGGACACGCAGCTAAAAGGTTGCCTTGAATGTTGGAAGAGACTTGGGCTTTGGATGATTGAAGTGTTGGGACTGTTAAAAGGCATGGGATCAGTGAGATGGCCCTCAAGCTCAGGACCTGCATTCAGCCTCCAGGACTCACATGGCACAAGAATAAAACTGACTCCTACAAGTCTTCTGAGCTTCACATGTGTGCTCTCTCTTTCTCTCCCTCTCTCTCTCACTCACACATGCATACTCAATAAAGAAATAGAGAAAATGTAATTAATTTTTTTTTAATTTTCTCTTTCTTTTTTTTTTTTTTGGTTTTTTGATTTTTGGGTTTTTTGATATAGGGTTTCTCTGTGTAGCCTTGGCTGTCCTGGACTTGCTTTGTAGACCAGGCTAGCCTTGAATTTACAGAGATCCACCTGCTTCTGCCTCCTTAAGTGCTAGGATTACAGATGTGCACCACCTCACCCAGAGTAATTAAGTTTTTAAAAAGACTATGTAGGAAGTTAAAAATTGGAACAAATGCATTTGTATTATGAGATGGTTTAAGCCTGTGGTGATGGGGGCGGGCAGTGAAGTATATTCCCCAGGCTCATGTGTTCAAACATCTGTTTCTCAAGTGGTGGTGCTAAGGTTATGGAACCTTTAGCAGATGGAGCCTCTTTGCAGAAAACGGATGAATGGGGTTGGGCTCTGAGGTTTTATAACGCTGTCCCTCTTTCTGTCCATTTCCTGTTTCTTGGCTGTAGACTGCAACGTGACCAATGTGAGCTCACAGTCCTTCTATGTAGCATGCCCGCTCTGGCTGTTTGGCTGTATCCCTTTGTCCTAGTCAGGGTTTCTATTGCTGTGATGAAACAGCATGTCCAAAAGCAACTTGGGGAGGAAACCGTTTATTTGGTTTAAGCTTCCAAATTGTAGTTCATCATTGAAGGAAGTCAGGGCAGGAACCCTGAGGCAGGAGCTGAAGCACAGGCCGTGGAGGGATGCAGCTTATGGGCTTGTTCAAGCCTTTCTCAACCTGCTTTCTTATAGAACCCAGGACTACCCACCCAGGGGTGTACCACCCACAGTGGGCTGGGCCCTCCCACATCAATCAGTAATTAAGAAAATGTCCTACAGGCCTGCATACAACCTGATCTGATGGAGGCATTTACTCAGCGGAGGATCCCTCCTCCCAGATGATGCTATGCTGTGTTCAAGCTGACGTAAAGCCAGCCAGCTTTGTCAGGTAGTTTGTCCCAATGAGAAAAGTAACTAATACAGGAAGCCAGCTAGGTTCTGACTGAAAATACAGCCTCATAGTTAACCCTGTGATGAGAAAAGCAAACTGAATGTAAAACCAAAAATAACAGCTGGACAACAGTCATGTTCTGATAGTCATCTTGCTAAGGAGGAAGGGAGGCGTCTTTATCTTCTGGTCCCCGTGTCACTTACTCCCTTCCCCAGAGAATGCTGAGTGGCTGTCTTTGATGGTAACGTTACAAGGCTACCATATGGGTCCTAGAACAGCATTTTGCTATTATTGTAAAAATTGTTCCTACTTGTGTATCTCTGAGACATGAGATCTGGTCAGATGATGTTAATTGTGAAAGTAATGAAAATGCTGTATCTGTTACAATGAAAGAAGACTTAATGGCCCCTGCAGGGCTGTGCACCCACAGGCATTTGAGGGTGCCTGATGAGACTGGAAAAACAAACAAGGAGAGGAGAGTTAGCTTCGAGTCTTCAGAGCTCACTTACAGCAGGAAGAGGAATTCGTTTTGGATTGAATTTTCCTGGGAATTTACTGATGGGAAAGACAATTACCTTGTTCAGATCTTAGCCATTTTTTTGTTGTTTCACTTGGACTTTTGAAAGTATTTTTCTCTGCTGACCAATTTTGGACACTGTGATTAGATGTAATTTCAAATGGAAAATAGACCTAGAAAATGAAGATTTGTCCCAGGGTGCAGTATAGCCTTGAAGTTAAGTTGATTAATCACCCGTTAGAGTCTCTAATGATCCATTATAGAATATCTTCAGAGGGCTGGCTTAGCCGCACGTATCTTTGGTCCTGGGAAGTTACAGTGAGAACCAATAGTAATCATTGGGAGGGCTGTTAATCTCTCTTAGCTGCACAGTCCTCTGTGACAAGGATTTAGTCAAACTCAGTTGTTAAAAATAATGAAGACCAGAGAGGTGGGTGTGAACTCTCAACATTTCTGCCAAAGCACAAAAGACATTCATCCAAGTGTCAGCCCCTCCTCCGTGCTCCCACTAGATCTTCCACATGGAAAAAAGGGACTAGTCTGGTCTCCTACACATGCTCTGTGGTAAAAACAGCATGGCCAGGGGCTGGAGAGATGGCTCAGCAGTTAAGAACACTGGCCCTTCCAGAGGACCAGCGTTCAATTCCCATCACCCACATGGCAGCTCACATCTGCCTGTAATTCCAGTTCCAGGGGATGCGACACCCTCACACAGACATATGTACAGGCAAAACACCAATGCACATAAAAATAAATAAATAAATAAATAAATAAATAAATAAATAAATAAATAAATAAATAAATAAATAGGACAGTATGCCCAAAAGCAACTTGGGAAGGAAAGGGTTTATTTGGCTTACATGGTCCAATCAGTGCTCATCACCAAGGGAAGTCGGGACAGGAACTCAAGACAGGAACCTGGAGGCAGGAACTGAAGAAGAAGCCACGGTGGAGTGCCTTGTAGTACTACCACAGCATGCCCAGTTTGCTTTCTTTTTTCTTTCTTTCTTTCTTTTTTTTTTTTTCAAGATATGTAGAAAGGTTTTATTTGCAGGGGAGCAGAAATTTAATCAAACAAGCCAAATCCCATGTCATCATCTGACTCCTCAGACTCCTCCTTCTTCTCGTCTTTCTTCTCCTCTGCTGCAGCAGCAGGAGCTGCAGAGCCAGGGGCAGCAGAAACAGCCACAGCCTCACCAGCAGGCACACTGGCAAGCTTGCCACCACCCTGAGCAATCACATCCTCAATGTTTTCTCCATTCAGCTCACTGATGACCTTGTAGGGCCGGTCATCGTCCATCTCGATGCCCACGCTGTCTAGGATCTTCTTGATGTCTTTGGCGCTGGGAGAGGAGTTGCCCCCGAGGGCGGCCAGCAAGTAAGAGGTGACATAACGCATGTCGGCGCGGTGGACAGGCCTCAAGCGTGCGACCTCGGTGGCGGTGAAAGGACCAGTTTGCTTCCTTACACAGCCAGGACCACCTGTCTAGAGCGGTACCACCCACTGTCAGCTGGCCCCAAACACAAGAAAATGCTGCACAGAAATTTTCCTATGGTCCCCCTTGTCCGGAATCCTCTAGCATGTTTCAAGTTGACAAAAGCTAGTAGCACATCCTGTCAGAGACACCGGGGACAATTTCCCAGAGAGAGAAAGTGGGATGGAGAGTTGGAGACTCTGATTTAAAGTTTCAGCTTAAATTCAGGCATTTGTCAGCTAGCACCAATAAAATGGCTCTGAGATTCTCCCTGGGATCCACTCAGGCGCCTCTGCTCCCTCTGGGAGGTCAGATGGGAGAAAGGGTGGCAGGATCTGGGGCTAGAATTTTACTACAAATTCAAACACTTTTGGTGGGAGATGCCTTGTTTTCTGCCATTTTTTTTTTAAGATTTATTTATTTTATGTTCTATCTGCATTTACATCTGCCAGAAGAAGGAATCAGTTCACATTATAGATGATTGTGAGACACCTTGTGTTCACCGGGAATTGAACTCATGACCTTTGGAAGAGCAGACAGTGCTCTTAACCGCTGAGCCATCTCTCCAGCCCATTTTTCTGCCATCTTTTTTGTATTTATTTTATTTTATTTATTACTGAGAGAGAGAGAGAGAGAGAGAGAGTGATTGTATATCCAGCACAAACATGTGGAAGTCAGAGGAAAACTTTTGGGGTCTGGCTCTCTCCTTCCGTTCTGGGTTGGGAGATTGAACTCAGGTTGTCAAGGCAAATATGTAACTGGCTCTGGCGGTTTGAATTAGAAACCCCTCTCCCCCATGGGCTCAGAGTTGACTGCTTAATTACTAGGAAGTGGAACTCTTTGATAGGGTTATAAGGATTAGGATGTGTGGCCTTGTTGGAGTAGGTGTGACCTTATTGAAGTAGGTGTGGTCTCCTTGGAGGAAGGGTGTCACTGTGGGGCTGGGCTTTGAAGATTCAAAAGCCCAAACCAAGCCCAGCATCTCTTCCCCTCCCTGTCCCTCTCCCTCTCCTCCGTCTCTCTCCTCCTCTCCCCTCCCCCTCTCTCACACTCCTTTCTCTCCCTCTTCTCCCTCTCCCTGTCCTCCCTCTGTCTACTCTCTCCTCGCTCTCCTTCCTCTCCCTACCCTCAGCCTCTCCTCATTCTCCCTCTCCCTACCTTCTTCCTCTTCTCCCTCTTTTCCCTGCCCTCCCTCTCTCTCCCCTCTCCCTCTTGCTCACCTTCTCCCTCTGTT